AAAAAAAAAAAAAAAAAAAAAAAAAAAAAAAAAAAGGAATCTGATTGGCTTTTATCTGCCCTGGTTCTAAAGTTGGATTGGGCAGCCTTAACTGCCTCCCATTTAAGTTAACACATGGAACTCTTATCCCTAATGGAAAATCTGACAGATGCTATTTGGGGTCCTTCACTTTGATTGTATTTCTGCCTTCCTCCATGCCTCTGGCTGAAGGGCCTATAGTTTAATAGACACATGGCACTGTTAAAAAAAAAAACAAAAACAAACAAACAAACAAAAAAACAAAAAACCAAAAAAATCTAGCTGCTAGCTGGTACTAATCTGGCAGTTCAGTAGAACATTTTCCACTAGGAATGAAAATACTTGTTTCTTATCTCCATAGAACATAAAAACTTCTGTTAGGTGTTTGATTGGATTCTTAGTAGAGTACAGGCCACGTGTCTCTTTCTATTTGTATTGATTGAACTGGAAGTTTCTATGTAAACTTGCAGATTTTTCACAGCCAACCTTCCCCCATCCCCAATAATTGGTAAGTAAAGCAAGTGACTTGCTCTGTTGGTGACATGATAATTCCGAACCAAGAAATTGCACTACTGACAGAAGATGGGCATTGAGGCGTCTAACATTTGAGTAGAAATTTTAAGTTTAGGAGTCTTTTACATTATAATTCTACTCTTTTTGTTGCTCCATATTAATCCATATGAAATGATACAATTTTAAAAAATTATTTTTAATCCTGGATTACTTCTGTTTATGAAATTCAACAGGGATTGGATCCCAAATTACATTACTTTGTTTTAGTTATTGAATAATCTAAGCATTGCTTGCCAGTTTGCAGTTGTTTGCAGAATTACATTGGAATTGGGGCAGGCCATTAGTTCTGGTGCTAATTCAGTTCTTTCTAAATTCACTTGTAGAACTGAACCATTGATCAGATAAAGTAATATGGGAAACAGTGTTTGGGATTCCTTTGATATTACTATTTCCTCCCCTTCCCCCTCCACACCACTTTAATACTGTCTGGAAAAACTTATCTGTGTTTAAAATCCACACTCTTTCAGCACATCCATGTTTACTTGATCATTACATGGAAAACTTCCTTTTTTACTCATGTCTATTCTTTAGTTGTCATAATGACTTTGATTCTGAAGAAAGAACTTAGACTTTAGCAATTAAGGGCTCTATTCAGTAATCCATGCTTGCCATCTCTGAGGTGGTTTGTCCAGCAATTTGAATTGACTTCCATTTATTTGTATATCCCTTTGTTTTGAAATGTGTGATTTCAGAGTGAACTGAAAGTCTTTTACTGAAAGAGCTTGCACGCACTAACAAGAAAAACCTGCTTAAACTTCCTCTCAAATATAGGAACTAGGTACTTTTTCATGAGTTGCAGTTAGCACAGACAGAAAATTCCTTACTATGGAAAACTAAGGGAGGTACCTTTTGGCTTCAATTTATGAGCCAGGTTAAAAAGGGAGCTGAGTTGAATTTGGGTAGAATGTTACGTGCTTATTTTGAAGAGGACAACCCATGCAAACCCACCTGTTTGGATCTCTGGGTCCATAGGTACCACAGTTTTCGCCAGGCTATTTATTTAGGCACCCATTCTTCTGATGCAATACTGGATGGTGGCATTTCTGGCCATCTGAGGTTGAATACCTTTCTCTTGCGTATTGCAGTGTCCTGCTTATGCCCCATTTTGGATACGTGCATAATAGTATTCCTTGGGACCATCTCTTAGCTTAGCTCTAGAGAGTAGCTGAATAAGATTCCTTTATATACTATATGATGTTTGGGGCTTTTTTCCACATTTAATGATAATATATGTTATGCTAGAAGTAAAGGTATGTAACATAGAAAATAAAGCTGGTACCTGACAGCCAACAGTGGATTTTCAATTGTTTTCCTTTTTGGCGATTTGTTTGATTGGAAGGGCAATTTGAATTTAAACCATCCTAGAGAGGCATTTCTAAGCAGAACAACTTTTAAATTTAATTACAGTATAATATTGTCTTCATTCTAAAGGTATTCTTGGCATTGTACATGCAGTTTGAAGGAAGTGAAAACTCCTGTTTGCTCATGGACTGAGTCCTGCATAGTACTATCTTGGGGCTTTTTCAGCCTCTTCAAAGAGGCTTACTTTGAATCCATTGACCTGGATGGAAGAATGAGGGCAAACCAGTGTAATGGTGATACTAACGTTACATTCTTAAACTAGCATTTAAAATGGAAAATTAATGAGCTTTTGAGTTTGGTA